TAAGCTTCTCCATCTGATTGTTCTTACTCTTGGGGTTCTCTCAGTAGGCAGCGCTGTTGCTCAGAGCGCATATTTGAGATTGTCTCTTTTGAAATTGGAGGATTGGTTGGATCGATAGTTCTAGTAGAGTGTTTAGAACCAGTGGAACTATTGACTCTATTGTTGAAAAAGTTGTTCATTGAATTCCGATTGTTGACTTGGTTAGACTTGGAGAGCTTGTTGTTAGTATTGGTTTGGTGAGAGAGATCTGATCACCGAGTTCCTGTGCAATTTGACTCTGTTTGGGTGTGATCCGGTAGGGAAGACTTTCCTGGGTCTGATCGAACAGTGCTGATGTAGAAAGTTTAAGCATAGAGATCATAAAAAAATTAAATTAGTTAGGATTCATACCGCCTTGTTGGTGTTGTTGTTGTTGATTGTTCAATATCTTCCGTGGTCTTTCAATCCCTGGTATCAACAAGGAATGTTGTGGTAATGGATTCAAGGCAGGCATCGAGGTAAGGTAATTAAATGTCTTGTAAACAACTAACCAGATTCAAATCAGATCAGGAAGGCTGATCGATCTTAAACTCAAATAAATCAAAGAGAATACAAGAAAGCCCAACTATTTGCAATAATCACAAGATCAAGCTCTGGCTTTAGGATCCCTACCAATTCCCATAGCCGCAGTTCCAAAGCCAAGCAACCATCCCACCTGTTCCTGTCATCCTATTCATACCCGCTCCAATCGTTGCAGCAGCCCAAGTATTACCTCCACCATTATTATTTCCATGCGTACCGATTCACAGCATATTTTGAGCTGCAACAGCTGGTAAAGGTGGTGCAATCAAGACTGTAGGGCCTGCTTGACCTGCTTCTGAAACTATCAAAACCGGTGCATTTGTTTGATCTATAATATAGCCCAGAGGCTGAGTATGATAGTTTTTAAAAGTTGAAAGAAATGAAAGAACTTCCTAGTCATAAAGAAAATGTTCAAAAGCGGAAGATAGTGGAAAAATGATGAAAACAAGAAATCAGATTATTATGAATCACAAAACCACACTAGGACTTTGAAGCCAAAAAGAAACGAAGGGATTTGCAGTTAAAGGGATGGAGCTGGTTCGTACTCGGGTCTCTGGGCAATTGGGCTGAAAATCGGTCCTAGATAGACTAAACTCTACTTAGACCTAGGATGTGATGGGAGCCAAAATCGAAATCTGAAGGCCTCCTTCTACTCCAGCTCTGCATTGCAATTGTACAATTATTTGATTCAACATTCAAGCTTAGTTACAAAAGGAAATCCACATTGCAACCGGTCCCGATCAATCGCCTCAATAGGCCGGCCCTATACAAAGCTTCAAGTTGACTCACTGATTGAAATTGGTTTGAATCTCTCTAGACTTCCTATTCCAAACGTTTCCCATCCAGCTCTGCAATTAGCCAAGCAAATCTTCAGGAGCTGACACATGATATGGATTGATTTTGAATTGTCTATTGGATTCAGATATTATCAGAATTTGCATTGTAACCACTTCCCATAGGTTGCTTTGATCAGTGAGATAGGAGTTCAGGAAGAAGTCGAAGCCAATTCAACAAATGGTTTCAAATATTTAGAATTCTCCTGGGCTCTCTCAGCACTGTGCTGATTGACCCTGTTTGTGGGACTCTGTTCTACAATTCGGGGTCTTACGGTCTGTGTTGGGAGGTCAGGAATTTTTCAAGTCATATTTCCACCAAGCTCCAAGGAATTTGTGCTGCTAGCTTAGAGTTGTGCTGGATGACCCCGTTTGTGGGACTCCGTTCTACAATTCGGGGTCTTCCGGCCTGCTGTACAGCATTCAATTGCAGTCAGTAGGGATCAAATTGTGGATTATGCCTGGGTGGCCCAAAATCAACTCTCACTGTAAACATCATTCAACTTCCCCAATTTGGCAGAGGAAAATGATTAATAGTACAGTTTTTCATAAAAGAATCTAATACTGCACACCTGGGCCATTTCACCCACACTACATATGTGCAGCAAGCTAAGTCAATAGTTGTCTATCATGTACATACAGGTCTGCTCAGTTTTTTGCCCATCAGAATAAATAAATCACATGTTATACCACATGTAACTTTTTCGACTTTGAAATTTTTTTCCCAAAAATTCACTACATATAATTCTGTAGCTGCTCAGGCAATATTGTTGAAGCTATGTCTTAGTAACAGAAAGTGTGTTACATGCAGTTGAGTTGATGAGATCACACCAAAACATTGAGTCAGTGTATGTAGTCAATCTTTTGGAAGCTTTTTTCAATCTGAAAGAAGTTACAGCATGTATTACATATGAATAACTTGTCCTGATGAGCAGATAACTGAGCAGAACTGTATGTACATGATAACCACATATTCACTGAGCCTGCTACACATATGTAGTGTGGGTGTTATGGCTCAGGTGTGGAGTGATAGACCATTTTATGACAAATCATACTCCCAATCATTTTTCCCTGCCCACTTGGGGAACCCGAATAATGTCTGCAGTGTCTCAAGCACTTCGGGTTGATGTAAATATTATTTGGTAGAATGAAAGGGGTTGCAGCCTGCAGGAGATCAATCTCCAAGTAGATGTGTTCTTTGTTTATTCATATGCTCAAAATCTAAATCCACTATTTTGTCACGGGTATTTGTGATCTGAATATGGTCGAGTTTCCATGCTTTCACATTTTGATTTGTGGACTCAAATGCTAAACTGCTCCAGCTATACTTGAAAAGTGCAGTTGCAACTTTTCTCTACCAACACTGCATTTGGGCGGAATGGAATTGAAGATATCAAGACCACATGAAGGGTCTGTCAAGATGTAGATGATAGCAAGGACACATTCAAATAATTTTGTTTATAGAAGCGTGAGATAATCAATCAGGGATATTAGAAACTGAGCAAATATTCTACACTGAATTATTCCAATGTTCTACTCTCTCCGTATCAATAAAGAAATGGAACATATGTAAGCCCAAAACTTGTGCAAGAAATACTATGGATCTCCAGTGTACTCATGCCCCTCCCAAAAAAGTGCTCTTGGCTAATTTGTGCTAATTGAACACAGTTGCTTGATGCTGTTTTTCATTCTTTGTCTCATGTTAGTTCAAACACCATAAGGAATATGTCCATAAGACTATTATACTGTTACAAGCAAGTGAGACAATGTTTAGTGAATGATGTTATTATCTTGAGACACTTGCAACAATAAGTGTGCAGTTACATACAATGCTTTTGCAAACAAAAAATATGGCTGGACCACCCTTGGGGTTTTGAGATGAAATAGTATGGCAGTGCTTGATCATAGTCATTCCCACTCCAAAGGTACACACTATAAAGCAAAATACCACAGTAATTCAAGAGAGCTCGATATCCCCGGACAGAAATATGCAAGAGGCTTTGATACTTATCTCACCAGAAACTCAACAAAACCTTTACGCCTCCTCTTGCCTGCATGATCATCAATCCATAAAAGTAACTGTGGCCAACTAGGAGACCCATGTCATCCACTTGTAGAGATTGGTGATCAGTACAAAGGAAAATCAATTTTGGTCAAGGTATGTCATGCATTGAATGATATGTGAATGATGTAAACCTACCACTCTGCTCAATACATCCAAAGCTTTCTGGAATTTTAGGATGTGTGAAAGCTTGTATCTTTGTGGATCAATTGGGACATGTATCCCACCAAGAGGAATTGAAAGACAGTCAATCAGAAGACCTGCCAAGCTGAGATTGTAAAGGAAAGTATACAACGCTCAGCTCATGAATTGTTGACAGATCCAAACTCTTTAAGTTCATCTTGATATCAAGAAGACCAGGTGGTAGTTTACAATTAAAAGATTTCAAGATGTCTTTATCATTTGGGACATCAATGGCTGATGATCCTTGACTACCTTTTACCTGGATACAAAAATAAGGATGACAAGCTACATCATGAGTTGGCAGTAGAGCTTTGTTGGTTGATTGTCTTGGTCTTTCTTCAGTATATGTAAAAGCCTCCACTTTCAACACTGATTTATCACCACTATACTTAAGGAAGAATCAAGGAGAATGAAGAGAAGAAACATCCCATGACCATGAACATCAAAGACTTAACACGGCTAAAAACCCTAACAGCGCGGAATCTCACAACTGCAGGTGATAGTAGAGGTATGGTATTCCTTAATCTATAAAAATCTTGATCAAGGGCGGGCACCAAGTCCTTGTCCTTAGCGGGAGCCCCGACAGAACGTTAGATATATATTTCCTTGCTCTTGATAATCATGTATGTCTCCTGACCTAAGAGAGCGCAAACAAGGAAATAATGTTGTTATCTATACTCCAACTATCGAAATTTGAAGTTATCAGCTCACCAGTCTGTTTCGGTCAAAAGTTCCTCAACCTCGGGCATCTCCTCAGTATGAATTTGCACGTAATTATACATTGTCTCGGCATTCATGCTAAGAATCCAACACAAAAACAAACAACAAATCAATAAGTATCTGCAAGCGCGGATCTCATCTTGAAAGTCAATTTTACCTGAGGAATATTTTTGCAGATATTGGCCCGCATTAGCCCTTGTGGTTTTGAAGCTGGTAAGTCAAATCACACTGGTACATGCGCGAAGTCAAGCAGTAATCACAAAGATGAGATGAGGGCTGGGTGAGTCAGATGCATTGTATAACTTGTCCTACATCTTCATACCCACTACTACCCAAGACAAAGGAAAGTTTGGACGTCCCAATCCATGGGTCGCCATGGGAAGCATATCTCTGAGGCTTTATTCATCACATTGATTCAGTACCTTGCTACTGGTTGAAGATATCTTGTTTTGTAAGGGGTACTCACAGTTATTGATCGTATGCTTCACGTTCCAATATACCTAGCGTATCAGGTAGTTCAAGAAGCATCGCAAGGGTTTCAAGCGCACACAGAATGGACTCGGGCTCTTTTACGCGTGTGTGTGCAATCAAAAGGCATCTTTGTACAATCTCCCCAATGAGTTTGAGATTCTGACTGGAATTCAGATAAGAACATAAGATTTGTGCTGCTTCACACGCCTATATGATGCTCCAATGTTTCCTTGTAAGCATTGATACAATATTGGCTGGGTCCCAAGCATATTACTCATGTCAAGATTTCCCTGGCCACCAATAAGAGATGTGATACCTTCGACGACGTTATCAATGTAGTCACGCATATGACCAGTTTCATCATCAGTGCTCAACTTGATTAATTCCAATGTTTGAAGAAACGCTCAAGATGATTCTCTCCAGTGCTCTGCACTATCTCTGCGCATTGGTGTGTTGAGAGGTATGAATCAGGTTGATTTACATTGCCACAATTGTTTTACATGTGGATATGACTCAACCAATTGGATATTTTGGTAAGAGAGTCGAACCCATCAATCTCAGTTGCCGAGGGTTCACACAACAGTCTTGATGTGGTATACCAGGTTTGTTTGCGTAGACTATCAATAGTTTCAAGTGTCTGCTTCAGGATCCCAACCAGCACCTCTTTGATCAATGTCCTTGTTAAATTTTGGCTTATCCGACTTGGGACCCTAGTACAGAAGTCTACCAATGTTTCAAGACATTTTATACTTGAAGACTGCACCCAGGATCCCACGTCACCATGTTTCTCAGTGGTATAGTCTTGAGCTCCACTCAAAAAGGCGCCTATCACGGCTGAAAACTGCTCAGGGGACAAAACTTTAGACATATCTTAGTGATGATAGCTCTCCAAGTATGGTCAAGGCATTGAACCATCCTTATTACTCACAATCCTTGAAGGACTCGTCCAAATTAGTCAGCAAGGAAACCAGAGATTCTATTGCGTTTCATCTCATTTTGATTGTATTTCCCGTGATTGTTTTCTGGAAAGTGTCAAAAGCCAATCAGCCAATATTGTTGCAGAGGAGTGAAACATTGTCATGCCTCTGTAATGCATCAAAGAACTGAACAGAAGCTTGGCTAACCTCCCAATCGGCACAATTCAATAACATATCAATGCCCTGGCATGCTCCACCTTGAACACAGAACCACCAAGCAGACAAGCTGTGGCATGTTTGGACACCGGGCGCCCCTTTTGAAGTGCCGTCAAAAGAAGCCTTAGTTATAATTTATGAAAGGAAACAGGCTATCAACACGGGTCCATCCTGTACCTGCCATGGCCCGAACAAGCAAAGTATCAGGAAGAAACCATACTGGATGTGACCAAGACCCACTCCAACGCTCAAAAACTTATGCAAAACGCGTTGAATAGAGATGCAGGATGTTGTCAGGGCGCTTGAGCGCAATAGTTGATACTTTTTTCCAAAATGGGGATGCTGGAAATCCTGCGGCATCCGGCTGATCCACTGAGAGACTGGATAAGAGTGCTTCACAGATTCCAATCAGTAGTGGGTTGGAGCTACAAGATTCTAGGTACGCGTGTTGGACACTTGTGATCCTCATGAAGATCTGGTCCAATGACAGCTGTTTTGTTAGCCTGAGAGTTCTTTCCATGTCAAGGGTAAATGGATTGTTTGTACCTTGTGCCGAAATTTAGAGGATGAAGGCTCCTGATGATGCAGTTTGCCAGTTTCAGCCAATGTGAGCAAAGTGCTGTGGATGTTGTTTATGTCCTTAGAATCAAGATCTCCGGCCTACAACAAGAGATGTCAGCCACATCACCATAATCTTTTGGTAAACAAGCAACTCTGTGAATAGCACCATTATCTGAAGGATCATTTCAGAAATCTGGTCAATCGAGTAGCCAGAAATCTTTTCAACTGACTGGGAAGCCAATTCACATATTTCATTATTCCAGTGACAGATACAGACTGTCATGATCGAGTGATTCAATATCGACTGTCGATTTACTTCATATCTTTGAATAAAAAGATTTTCAAAGGCAAGTTGAAGTTACAGGAATGGGACACCTACCTACTTGGCGACTTCAGGTGCTGCTATCAAAAAAGCAGATCTACGCAATCCTATGGTCAAAAAGTCTGCAAGTTGAAGAACCTGATCAAAAATCTGCTGTCCATATATAACAAGAAAGATTACCAAAAAGGACTAAGAAATTGACAAAGATGATCGAGAGAGACTAACGTTGAAGGTAAAGAAGTAGCATCATAGAGCCTTTTTTGGATGTAATCATTTGAAGGAGAGTTGAAGTTCAAAGATGAGTGCGATTTGGTGGACTAGAGAAACTATTGATACTTCAGACTACGTGGATTAGGAAGCTGTGTTGGAAGTTGTGGAAGGGTTTGACTCATAGCTGGTCTTAATTTGAGTCAAGTAAGATTATGATTAGGAAGTAATTGACGTGGTAAATTGAAAGTTTGCAGAAGGAGACGTAATCAAAGTAGATAAAAGTTGAGGCATTGTTTGAACTTGTGAATTTGCTCAGTTTGTGATAATAATGAGAAGGGTTGGGTCTGATCAGATCAACAAAAAGTAGAGCAATGTTGGCTCGGTGAGGTGTACAGTTGGCTTGGTGGAGAGGTAAATTGGGTTGGTGGAGAGATGGATTGGGTCGCATTGGATGTGTAAAATCTCAGTAAAAAGGGGATTGAGTCGTGTAAAACTATTACTTCCGAGGTAACTGAAGTGGGATTTGATCTAATCTTGAGATTCCTTACCTTGATACCTCGGAAGTCGAAATAGTCGGTTACTGGATGTCTTGGTGGTGTTGGTTCGGATGAAGGAATTCCGCCGGTGATTTGGTCAGTGGATGGTCGGATGAATCTAGTCGGATGAGATCTTGGTTTGGGATAGAGTTGGTTGAAGATCGGACACCTAACT